TTATTTTCTAAAAGTTTTGATTGCGCAGAAATAGGTTTAGGTTCTACGGTGACCTCGCGTGAAATTTCTGATGGTTTAGCTTAAGGAAATTTGACAACGGTTTTGTCGAGATCGGTAGGGGTGTTCGATTCACTCGAAGAAGTGCTTTTTGTGCTTAGTGGAACCGGCAGAGTACTTGGAATTTTATCAAGTTTTTCTGCTTCGGAGTCCGAATCAGATTCGTATTTTTCTGAGAGGGGTGGTTGTTTGAAAACAGAACGTAATTTATTTATCAAATCTTTAGTGTGACTATTAATCGGCTGTTCTGCGTTTAAAAATGACAAAATATTAAGTAATTCCCCTTTTGTACAATAACAAAAATAATAACCTTTCGTATCTTTTTTTAAAATTTCAATTTTTTCTAAAAGGGAGATTTGTTGAAACTGTTTCGGTAAATAGAGCCGTTTACTTTCTCGTTTATAAACTTCGAATATAGTGCTTTCGTAAATTAAAGTTGCTCCTACTGGAAATTTTATAAAAGCGGTATGATCAAAAGCCTTAGAAACAGAAATACCTCTTTTCTTTCCAAATGAACTAATAACCTGATCTGGTGTTAGTTCCAAAATATTACTATCAAAACCTAATAGATTCCAAACTCTTTCGGTAATTCTACAAGTTTGATTATTAAAGGTGCGTTTTAAATAATAACTATAGAGAGGCATATAAACGTATATAAAAGATTATGTAACTCAAAGACTTAATTTATAGTTATACCTAACTATACAATTGTTACTATTATAATAAAGTGAGCCAATAATAAATAAAAAATATTTAATTTATAAATTAACCGTGAAAAGCGGTATATAAAAATTGTAGTACACTTAGGGGGGGATCCCTCACTGAAAGTTTAAAATAAAACAGAGAGATCGGCGCCTCCACCAATTGTTACGTCGCTATTTAGGGGTTTAGCCTAAATGCCCGTCGACAGTATTCTAAGGGACCAACGGGGGATAGCTGGCTAGGCTATATCTACCTTAGGTACTGAAGTTTCCT